AGCGGCTGTGTGGTGCTTAGTTGCTGGCTGGGCTTAATCCACAACAAGCACTTACAAAGGCGTTTTGCAAAGGGATGGAGATACCAGAATTCAACTTAAATCACACATAACATATTTTAATTCTTTTGTGGATACTGACTTAGAATCTCATTGCCTAACTTTGAACAAATTCGCAACTGAAGACCAAGGATTCAACATGCTTGGAAGTTTATCCTGTACTGCCTTCTAACGTATAATATAAACCTTGAATATGATAGCCTATCTAAATCTACAGCAAAGTAGATTTGCCAACCGAGAATTTAAAGTCAGATTTGCAGGCTGCTGAGAAACGTGAAATAATTACCTTCCAAAAAGTTAACTAACTGCAAATGCCTCCACCTCCCATAAACAGCAGGACTGCTTGCTACAACAAGTGTTTCACATAGGAGGTTTTTCAATTTTTCCACAGATTTTTGGATGGGCTTACATATTCAATACACATTACACATTTGGTATTTATGTCATATTACAATAAGCACTATACTTCACATATGCTAATTCAGATGGTTGCCACCTGAACGTCACTTTGTGAAATAAATCTGCTCTGGAAGATCAAAGAGATAACTGCTTTACCTTGAGATAACACCTTTTTTCAGGCATGTAAGACTGACTATGAAACTCCAGCAGAAACCACAAGAAAAAGTGTTAGCTAGCTAGCTATCCAGTCAAGGTGAAAGGTGAAAGTGTAATTTGTATACAGTGTGTATAATATTATCATCATGACACCAGAGAACATGAAAAGAAATATCTGTGCTGTTTTCTTTTGGTGACCGATTTCCTTTCCTATCTCTTCAACACCGAAGTAAGCAACAAGGTATTACGCTAAACAATCTGTCATTATGAAGGACCACTCTTCCCTCTTGTGGAAAACCATGTAAGTACACGAACAGGCATAACTGGGTATAAGAGATGCAGTTAGTATTTCATTTCTGCAAGACAGAACATGTGGGAACTTTCATGCTTTCATGAATTGTTCTTTTGCATAAAGAATTAAAGGATATATATATTTCTAATACAGCACACATACTCAAGATAGGATAATACAGGAGTTCAGATCATAAGCACAATTATTATTTGAATGGCTGTAAAATGAGAACAAATGCTTTCTGATATATTAGCATTTTTCTGGAAAATTGGTTATTTCTTTTTGAATAGGCCACACAATGGCTCCTCAATATTTAAAAAAAAACCCAAAACCTCAAACCCTTTAAAATGTCTTCTACTAGAAATATTATTGCACTGCTCTAAGTAAGAAAGTACGTTCCAACACTAAGCAAGAGATTTGAAGCCATTACCTATGCAAACACAGAAACCTCCCCACATGCAGAATGAAGATATTCTATAGCTGCGATGAGACTTGGAAATTTATCTACCACCTCCTCAAGCCAACTAGTTATTAAAAACTGATTTTTAAATACAGGATAATTTAACTTCCATTTTCTGTACAACAATCTGAAGTTGTAGATGTTTTCTTATCATCATCATCCCGGACTACCAACATAACAAAGAAAAAAAATTACAATGATCTTGCTAAATCAGTATACCTACACTTGAAATTAGATTATGTAATTTGAAATAACATATTTGAACAGGCTGCAAGAATATTTACTTGTTCAAATAACTGTCCCTCAGTCAACTGAAAATAAAACATGAAAGCCACTTGATATTCATACCTCTGGATCTCTTGCCTTTGAAGGAGGTCTCCATTTAATGGATTTTCATCTTGAGCCTGGTCCTGCATAACAGAGTGAGGGGAAGATAGAGAAGGAATGAACATATGATTTCAGATCTTCTATCTGAAAATACTGCAGTGAAACTACAAGTTTGCTAGTATTAAAATTCAGAAGCAGTCTTCATTTGTGTTAGCTGCAGTGGTTTTCAAAATGGACATAAAGACTTCTACTAAGAATTTCCACTTAAAAATGCTTAAATTACCTACTTACATGAAAGCATTGCTCAGCCACCACCATACTCTCTCTCCTCCTTTTTTTTTTTTTTTTAAAAAAACAGCTGAGCTCTCAGAATTTGTGATTCTTTGAAAAGCAAAAATTGAGAAAGGCTTTTGACTTCCATTAAAAAAAAAAGTAATCAGTTGTCTCTTGTGCTTTCCCTGCCCCAGTATATAAAGACCTTTAAATTAAACTGTTTTCAGTATAGATTTACTTCCACAAGTTACTTTTATGATACAACATAATTTATGCCTTGAGTCTGAAAGACTGCTTTCAATCATGCATACAAGCAGCCTCACTGAAGTTAACAACACTTTAACAAATCAAACATTGGGCTCTCTTCATTAGCCATGTTTCTATTAGACCCTCACCTGTGATGAGTTCCCATTCATATCCCTTCTCTTCATGTTCCCTTCCTACTACTGTTCCCTCTAGCCAAAGCTGTTATGAATTTGATACCTGTTACTGTGGCTTCATAGAATCATAGAATCGTTTAGGTTGGAAAAGACCTTTAAGATCATCCAAGTCCAACCATTGATGGCCTATACACATGTCAAGCAACTTGTCAATATAATGTACACACTGCATCAACTACAATGCAAAACCCGAATATCTAAAAAGAAAAAAAATAGAAAGTATACTTGCCTAAGGTAGAAAATGTCTGAAAGTGCTAACTAATGTAATTAAAAACAGTAATATCGAAAATACCAGCTAGGTTTGAAACAATACTGACTTGTCATTGCCCATTGATCACATTTCACCTGACAGTTTTTCCCCCTCCTGAAGACTTTCCCACCATCACCCATCAGATTCAATTTCATAGTTAAAAAAAAAAGAAAGTTGCACTATATTACCTCACACTTGAAAACTTGTACCTTTTTATTTCCTATATTAAACAGTTACCAGGATCAAGAAGAAATAGTAAAAAAGAAAAAAGCTGTTCCTTATATTTGTTCTTTGCAACAAAAGCTGCTGACATAAGCATCATTTAAACAGTGTCATGTCTAGTATTCCTTACAACTGCTATTTCAGTCTGTTCTTTCTAGCAACATTCATTCTCACAATACAATCTGCAATCTTCAATTATTTATATAGCTGTTACTCTATTCTGTAGAGCTAGCTGTTACTCTATTCTGTAGAGCTATCTGAAGACACTAGAACTACATACAAGTTACAGTATGCTTTCAGAATTTACAAGTTATTAAAAACACCTAAAAGAATTCCAGATACAAGTGAAAACACCAACCAACAGTAACAGAAGTTAACAAAACAACTCACATGCCTTCCAGGTAATGTGCTTTATCCCCACCTAGTGGAAAAAACACAGACTAAACCTGAGACAAGACAATCAGTGTACGTAAGCCTGTAAGCCCGTCTGTGTAAGCTAGAAGTGTGGCATGACAGCAGCAGATCTCTAGACACACATTCAGTGCTGAGAACTCAACACCCCAGCTATGTATGTGTGGTTTGAGGGCAGCCGGGGAGAAGGACTTTACTTCAGGCTAGCTCTAGTCTGGTCCCTGAATGCCCAGGAGAGGTTGAGTCTTACATAGCCTGAATATTGGCTCACTCAAATGTGACTCAAGATTACATAATCATCATTATTAATGACCATAAGGAACCTAAAATCATCTGCCTCTTCAAACAATCACATTCAAGTCTTTTAAATTTATTGTGTAACTTCAATGTTACTGCAGAGTCCTAGAGACTGCCACTGTACCTTATATCATGTAAAACAGTAAGCATGCACTGGACTTTTTTTTTTTAAACTTAATGCATTTTATTACTGTTAAGATATCTTAATTTCCTTTTTGAGATCCTAAGTACATCTACATTACACAATGAGTGCCTCACAACAGACACTTGCCCCAGAAATGGCAGGAAAGGGCACTAAAAGAGGTATAGCAAGATTCTGGAAACCTTGTTACAAAAAAACACTTTCCTGACAAGCTTCATGCAACTACCCTGCTGTGCTAGAGTTCCTTAAACAAAGTTCATGGTATCTTTTTGACATAAGCATTCTATTGTTTTAAAAGAAAAACAAACAAAATCGAGTGCATCCTCAGCAAGTTTGCAGATGTCACCAAACTGAGTGGTGCAGTTGACATGCCAGGAGGACAAGATGTCATCCAAAGGGACCTGGACAAGCTGGAGAGGTGGGCCCGTGTGAACCTCACAAGGTTCAACAAGGCCAAGTGCAAGGTCCTGCACCTGGGACGGGACAACCCCTGATATCAATACAGGCTGGGGGATGAAGGGATTGAGAGCAGCCCTGTGGAGAAGGACTTGGAGGTACTGGTGGATGAAAAGCTGGACATGAGCCAACAATGTGCACTTGCAGCCCAGAAAGGCAACCAAATCCTGGGCTGCATCAAAAGAAGCGTGGCCAGCAGGTCGAGGAAGGTGATTCTGCCCCTCTGCTCTGCTCTGGTGAGACCTCACCTGGAGCACTGCGTCCAGCTCTGGGGCCCTCAGCACAAGAAGGACATGGACCTGCTGGAGCGGGTCCAGAGGAGGGCCACAGAAATGATCTGAGGGCTGGAGCACCTCTCCTATGAGGCCAGGCTGAGAGAGTTGGGGGGTTGAACCCTGGAGAAGAGAAGGCTGCGAGGAGACCTTATTGTGGCCTTTCCATACTTAAAGGGGGCCTACAGGAAGGATGGGGACAATCTTTTTAGCAATGCCTGTTGTGACAGAACAAGGAATAATGGATTTAAACTAAAGAAGAATAGATTTAGACTAGACATAAGGAAGAAGTTTTTTACAATGAGGGTAGTCAAGCACTGGAACAGGTTGCCCAGAGAGGTGGTAGAGGCCCCATCCCTGGCAACATTCAAGGTCAGTTTGGATGGGGCTCTGAGCAACCTGATCTGGTTAAAGCTGTCCCTACTCACTGTAGGGGGGGTTGGGCTAGATGACCTCTAAAGGTCCCTTCCAACCCAAAGCATTCTATGATTCTATGATAAAAAACCTCAAACAAACGAGGGCTTGCCCAAACTCCCCAAGTCCAGCCCAAGACAAATACCAGCATAGAACAATCTGATCGGCTACTTATAAGAAATTGTAAAGCTTTATTTTCTGTTGCTATATGGGCAAAGGCTGGGAAATCCCACCTATGTAAGTGTACTACTTCCAAGAAACAAGCCAGTCTATAGGAATATTTAAGGTTAATTTTACTAGGATGTTCATCCTTCACTCAATTATATACTTTATATCTCTTTGTTTACCCTTTATTTTGCTTGAACAAGGGATTTAAAATAATGCTATAATATTTTATTTTTTATATACAGAGAGAGTATTATAACAGACAGATCTATTAATACAAAAAATTCCTTAAAAATAAAGGTACCTTCTGCTTGGATTTTTGCAACTCCTTTCTGAGACTGTTGCACTCTTGCTTGAGCTTTTCTAGATCCTGTTCCAGACTATGCACTTTCAGGTCACTGCTCAGCTTCTCTATTTCCCAGCTGGACTGAGTACAATTCAGATTTTTCATCACTGTAAGAAAACAAGCAAGACAACCAGACTCCAGTTTCAGTTCAAGAAATGTAACTCAATATGTAAAGTTTCACTTTAGCCAGCCCATGCCCTACAAAAAGTTATCCTGTATGTTCTGAAGAAACTGCAGTCTATGACAACAGAGAAATAATAACACTGGCGAAGCTGTTGGCAGAGTAGTAGTCTATTTTCTGAGTTTAAAGTACAGACCCCTACTTTCCAAGAATGCACTGGAGATTTTACATAAAGAAAAAGGAAGTAAGACCATAAAAATGCACTGGAAATACAAAAATGTGTTAATAGCAAACATGCATGATATATACACCAATGTGCATACTTCTTACATGCTTTTTTCCCTCCCTCACATTTATATCATTACATAATTTACCCAAAGTTTTTCCCAAGTTTAATGTCAAGAAGTTCCAAACAGAACTACAAAAGATACAATCAAAACAAAATGGCAAAGTCTAGAAGTTAAATGTCTTCTGATTAGACAGAACAAATTCACATGGTGTCTATTAACAAGCAACCTAAGACAATCCTAGCATCAAATCAGTAGTAGGAGGCTAGTTAGACAGCAAGAAAAGAAAGAATATGACAGGAAAAAAACCCCAACTCTTCAACTGCATGGTACACTCACTTCCAGATTTAACAATTTAAACAAGCTTAAGCTACACTGATTTTTCTTAAACAAGGTACTCGGAACCCACTTATGAGTAAAATTGATTACTAAATAAGGCTTGAAATCACCACATTTTCAGAGGTCTCTATAAACTCTGCACTTCTTACCTCCTTAAACCATGATGTCCTCAACAATGATACTATTACTATGTGTGGTTTGTTCTTTTAGGTTTAAAAACTTGTGCAGCTGAAGTAGAGCATTACATGCTTGGGGTCCTCTTGGAAAGTAATCCAGTTCAAGCACAGCAATACTTACAAGCACCCTTCAAAGGACTGCATTCATATAGGATCTGAAGTCCAGTCCATATCTCTAACTTTACATAGATGGCATTTGCTTCTTCTCTTTTCTTTTAACAGTACATTAATAAAGATTCTTTTTTTTCTTCCACAGTGTTTTATTTTACATAGCTATCATCTACACAGCACTCTTCAAAACAGCAGTAACAGAAACTGGATTTGGGGTTTTGGAATTGCCAGGGTACACTGTTTGTTTCTCTTTTCTCTTTGCTGGCTCCCTACAACCAGCATCTTTCTACCCTTCCTCACGCCCCAGCCCTTTAAATAGCTGTTGTCGACTGCAGCTATTGCTATACAACATCCTCTTGTACCTGTCATATCCCAACAGTGAAACAAAACAATACACCAGATGATCTGCAAGTACCAGAGAAAGTGGTATCGACTGGATAGTGTTTGATACTTAAACAAGTATGCCCCTGCCCCACTCTGAGGAAAAGGCGGTGGGGTCCACAGATGTACATGACTAGCTTATTAAACTATCAGGTTGTGCATGTCTCAAACAATTAAATAACCCACAGTGGAAGAACGTGACAGCCTCAGATCTTTCCCATGGAGCTCCTCATCTATGATAATAAAACATGCCTGCCACAATTTACAAGAAGGAAAAGGCATACAAACTCAATATATTCCTCTCTTACCTAGCCACTATATACAGTTAAACATCTTCATGCCCTGAGATCATAATATAACCGCTAAGACTAGTCAACATACATTAAGATGAAGTAACCAAATGCATACCTTGTTGAGTTTCCACTTCAGTTCTTAGTTGTAGCAGCTCTACTTCTTTAGACTGCAACTGTTCATTCAAGATTTTCAAGGATTCCACACTTTCTTTCATCTATTTGGGGGGGGGCGATGGGGGGAAGCCATTTGTGAAGTTTTTTTTCTATCATATCTGACAATTCAACTTTTTTTTTTAAAAAAAACAAAATAAGAAAACTATTGCTTTGATTTTTTTAGCATTAGCCTAACCCAGTAATAAAATTGAGATACTTAAAAGTGCTATTCCTGCATAAAGTATTGTCATGTACTTTAAAAACCTAAAGGAGTGATAAAACAAACACCACAGATCTCCAGCAAATAAAATTCATTCTAGAGTAAACATTTACTAACTACGCAGTACTTCTGTAACATGCATTTAAGTCATTACTTAAAAAGGCATACCATTTTATCCAGTTTGCTTTTCAGATTATCTCGGTCAATGCAGGCCTCTCGATAGGCTTGGTATGCCTTATTTACTTGTTCACGTCCAACTGAACTACATTCCTCTTCCAGTCGGGAGCCAAGCAGCTAAAAGTTTAACAAACATGAGAAATAAGAAGTTTCACGTGTTATACTGAGAGCTGCAAAATTTGAATAGTGCAACAGTACAATCTGTAACATTAAACTAACAGCATTTTTTTTTTAGTTTAGAAAATATATTAATCAAATACACTGATACAGGCCAAAATTTTTTTACAGAAGTGCAACAAAGGCCACCTACAAATTCTGCAATCTCTAACCACACTTAATGCTTGCTAGTTTACTGCTATGAGTATTTAAAAACCATCCACAAGTCATGATTACTCACGCTGACAACCCCATAACCATGTTTTTTCCAGACTCTGAAGATGTACAAACTGCTTTTTGGAAAAAGTTTTAAGCATATAAACACACAACGTACAGAAAATTAAGAGGAAAATTAACATAATTTTTAAATGACTTATAATTTAATCAAAGATTTTTTTCAGTGTATATATGTGAGAAAAGCCAGAGCAGAATTATTTTACAAATAACTATTGACTTCCAGGTCACCACTATCTCATTGTCTGCTAAGGCAGCAGACAAGCAAGGGGGAATAAACACTGCCAACTAGACTGTCAGAAAGAGGGAGCAGAGTACTGAATGTATTCAGTATTTTTTTTTTCAGTATTTTTAATAAGACAGCAAGAAGTCTTACATCAAATTACATCCATCCATATAGAAAGTTCTTGTTTTGACTAAGTATTGCATTATCCTTTTCATTCTGTTTGTCCTGCACACTTGCTTTAAGTTGTTGAGGCATTTAAACACATTCAGCGTACCTAATGTAGATATTTGCGACAGTTTTATATACATTTTCTTAAAAATTAAGAGCCACACAAAAAAATAATAAAAAAAAAATAAATAGGTGACAGAATGTATCTACCTCAAATACATCCTCTATTAGGTGTTTGTTCAAACGAAAGTTCAGGAAAGCAAGCCATAAAAATAGGAAGCTTCTGCTCCTTGCTTTTTGTATTGACCCTCAAAGTAAGTGTACTACTCATTTCAAGTTTTGCCCTTTACATTCTGCCCCCCTCCCCAAATAAAGCCATTCAGAAAGAACATAAACCTTACCAAACCTTCTGGAAGTTTCCATACACTTTGAAATTTAAAATTTAAAAGGGTTAACACCCCATGTATTTTTTACCATAGAGGTATACTAGCTATTAACAAAGACTGAAAGTCAGTTCTGTTACTTAACAGTCTAGGCCTTCTCAATGCCCTTCTCTCATGGAAACATTTTTATGGTATTCACATACTAAACCAGAAGTTTTCTCCTTGGAAAACAAAGTATCATCTTCCAGACAATTAAACTAAACCAGGCCTAACTGAAAGACACAAGACTAAAAGGGACTGTCAAGGTCATCAAGTCCTGTTCATTGTGATTTTGAGAACCATGTAAAAGATGTTACATGCAGCATGGTTCAGAGAATATTCAGTCTAGAGCTCTGCTCCTATCCCCTACACCCCACCCCAGGACCTTATACAAAGAAAGTGCTCAGCCAGTTTTGCCTTTTGACAGAAATTCAATTTCGTCAAACTAGTCACCAAGAATTCCTGAATAAATGTTTGAAAATTGTACTGATTGTGACTCAACCTCTTCATTCCAATGCCACAAAATAACACATACTTTGTAAGCTTCTAACAGTCAGTAGCATATACTCAGGACTAAGTCCTAATAAATGTCTCAGCTCTAACTCTAGGATCTATCTTTCTATCTTATATTAATAAGAAATCAACCTATCAAAGTCAAGACTTTCTGCAGTACAAAGACACTCACTACTGAACAATGACATATGTTTAACAATAGCATTCTTTACTCGGGGAGAAAAGCCTGCATCATGGTCAATTTTTAGCTTTAATGAACTTCACTAGACTAAGGCCGTGAAAAACTGCATATAAAACAAATTCCTAGATTCCTTTACATTTTAGAATTGCTACATCAAAAAATAGCCAGCCAACACCTCTATGTTATGCATTACAACTTTGTATTTCATGTTTGAGACTGCTATTAGCTAGACCTAGCCAGATAACGCTTCACAAACAATTTTTCCTTATCATTTCATTATGCTGAGCCCAAGAAACTCTTTTAATAGCCAGTGCCTGGATTCTGACAGTTTATAGACTTGGCACCTCACTATTCAGCAATACTAAGTCACATGTGCCCAAGTTAATAAACACCATAAAGAGGCAGATGAAATACAGTAATGATCCAATGCAACTACATGTCTTTCTGAATCAAAGCTAGTGTCTTTCCAGGGCACTACTCCATTGCATCACATACGTGCACATACATGAATCAAAAATCCCAGTATGACTTAACTAGACTACCAGAGGAACAAACTGTGTTTCATTTAAACAAATAAAACAATTTACCAAAACTTTTTAACTTGGAAGTTATTTTAAGTACATATTTTAAATACTTAACCATCTGCTCCGCCATCCAGCCAGGAGCAAAAAAGTAGCTGCTACCAGAAGCTGGCAAATTGACTTTTTTCTTACCTTCTCTTCTAGAATTCTCACTCTTTTTTTTAAGAAGGAGTTCTCCTTCTCTGTCTCCTTTAGTCGTTTCTTGATATCTTCATATGCAGTGACAAGTGCAAAGTGTGAGGCAACAGACTCATCTCCACTGTAAGATGAAACAGGAATCTCCCCATCTCTCTTATGAGCGTTGTCTGCTTTTTCATGGTTCAAAATACAGATGTCATCCTCTACCAACTCCTCCATGACAGCTGTTAAAAAGACAGATGAGTGCAAAATTTTCACAAAGACAAATTCATCAAGAGTCTCAAGTCTGAAAACCTTCCAAAATAATACTGCAGGGTGTTTCTGTCTAAGTATGACAAGACTGAATAATCAGGAAATATCTTAATCTTGCAGAAAAAAAAAAAATCTTGAAACCCATTTTACATTGAAAATACACTGGTTAGAAAAGAAGCATCTTTCACTGTCACTTGATAAAAATATTTTGAGTACACATCAGATTTATGAACTCCAAAATTCATTTTTATTGAGGCTTAACACCATCCTAGAATTTGGCTGGTACCAAATATTTGAACTCCAAAGGAATATCATTATTAGAGTTTTTGCAAGTCAGCACCAAGCAGTAAAAGAAATTATAGTTGCAAGAAATCAACTAACTACTGTGGTTCCTGAGCACAAGTGCCAAATTTCCTTCATTCTTGAATGCAAATATTTATACTGCTCCGAAACTTTAAAATAGAATCTTAAGGTACACATATTAGTCCTTAAAGAGGCTGCACGAGTAGCTATTCTTTACTTGGTTACAGTAGAAAACATCCTACTGAACAGCAGTTACAATAATTCTTGACTGCAAATATGGTGAGAATGAAAACATACTCAATAACATGATCTGCCTCAACATGCATGGAGAAAACTTAAAATAATCTGACTGTAAGAAAAGTATCACCCTAAAATACTAGGCAAATCCACCTGAATGACACATGCAAAGCAACCATTAGATTGAGTTTTCGTTACAACACACATCATTTAGGCACAACAAAACATTTAATAACAAAATGGCACCTTTAAAAAAACTCCACAAACTTTCTTGAACTCCAGGTCTTAAGGGAAAAGCCCCAACAGCATTTTCCTTTGTGGAATAATTGCTGGAGGTGACTTAGAAATTAAACTT